GTGGTGGTGGTGACGACGATATTTTGTGGTGGATGTAAATAACCATTGAATAATGTTACTAACTGCCAGCACTAAACTACATACTAGCCATGACCATACTGGTTCATCGGGTCCATAATGTGAGATTACTAAAGCTGTTATAACCCAATTTATTGCTTGTAACGAAATCAATCGAATAATTGCACTACTGACTTCGTAATAAAAAAGCCATCTATGCATTAACCCATCAGCTAACCAATAACTCCAAATACCAGCAACACAGCACTAAGTAAATCAGGAAATTGATTAATTAATTAACTTTGATTTGATCATTATTTTCTCTCTTTCAAAAATCAAATAATAATAATACATACCCACATTGCACCTAGCCAATAGTCTAATTCAGTACTTCTGAGTTCAAAGATACCACCAGCATTTCGTTCTGCTATATTATTAGCATCTGAAATTGAATAAAGCCCATAAATGGCAGGAACTAGACTGAGTCCTCTTAGAAAAATAAGTGGGAGGTGAAGTCTTTGTGGTATTCCTATACCAAACGAACGATTTCTATAAGACGGAAGATGTGTCTACTTTAACATAAAAAAAAAAAAAATGTTTTTTTTTAATTCAGTGCATATAAAAAAAATATATATATACATTTTATAAAAAAATTTATTATACATTGAAAATCAAAAGGAGATAACGGTCAAGCTTACCGTTACCATTATATAATGAAATTTTGATCAATTGATCGAACCTTTAAAGAATTTTATTTTTATTTTTATTATTATTTTTTTTAAAAAAAAATTGTTATACATACTGAAACAAAAAACATAGTGGTTTTGTTTTATCACTTTGTGACGATCTTGAAATTATGGCGTGTAACCACTAATTTATATTTGTGTAATAATTTTTAAAAATAAATCTTGTAATTAATTATTAATTGGAGAGAAAGAAAGGCATTTACGATCTCATCAAGATAGCGTTGATACCCATGAAGTTTCATTAGAAATGATCTGATTTATATAGTAATTTTTATCTTTCCAAGAGATATCTTTTTTACTTTTTTTTTGTTTAAAAAAAAACTATGTAATAAAGAGAGGAGTATGGTTAATCAAGATAACTTCAATACCTATAAAGCTTTATTAATAAGGATTTTTTTCTAAATTTATATAATGTATTAAAATTTCTAATTTTTATTAATTAAATACAGCTCATTCTCTAATGCATCTTTCTATAACAGTATTACGAATAACGGACTGAAAATTTATATAATAATAAATCATTACTATCACTGTCTATAATAGATTCTCTATATAGCAGACATTTTTTTAATACTAATACTAATATGGTCCATTATATAAAGAGTGAACTGTGTTTATTACAGGTAAATTCTACCAATTTTTTATTTCATCTTTTAAATTTAAAAATAAGTTATATACATATTCTTTGTTTATATTAATTGAATTATATTCATCCTCATCCTCATCCTCATCTTCATTAGCTTCATTATCTTCTGGCTCAACTACATTGTCAGATTTTTCTAATTGTAATACAAAGAGTAACATTTTTAAAAACGCCTTTTTTGTAAAATTCCATACAATGCTTGCAACTTTTTTCTAAATCTTTTTTTAGTGAATATGCTGTATGGTAGTAGGTAATAATTTTAAACCAATTGTTTCGCCTAGAGTGCTTAATTTATAACTTAATAATTTTCCCCCATAATTTGGCTTACTTGTATCCAAATTTTTGTAAGTATTAAAGAAATACTCTATTAGAAAACAGCTTGTCTTTTTAGTCGGATAATATCAGCTTTTGAATAAGTTATATTTTGTAAAAGTCTTCGTGTTTAATGAAATACCGAAGCCCAATAAAAGAAAAAGACTAATTCATAATGCACGTGCAGTCAAAAAAATGAAAACTAATTCCTCAGAACCTTTACTCCTTGTAGAATCTCCTGTAAGATTAATTGAACGAGAAAATAATGTTATTTTATTTTATTAAGCATTTTCTTCAAAAGGAAAAGATTTTCGAAGGAAAAAATAAAAATTTTATAATAAAATCGCATAACTTTGAATTCTTATAAATCCTTATTTCTACTAATAATTTTTAAAAAAAACTCTGTCAGACTATTCTTTGAATCACAGAGAAAAAAACTATGGAAATTTTTTAGTCTAACTTGTTTGGTTATCGAGCCTATACGTTTCAAAGCTTTAACAGTATTTTTAACATTTTGGATGATTTTACTAATAAAATTAAAAAAAACTTTCTGTCACCATGTGAACTATTACATTTGTTATAATATCTCTTAATTTTATAGTTGTCTTTTTTTTTGAATGAGAAGATGTAATTTTTATTTTTATAATTGTTGAAAAAAAGTTTATTAATAAATTTTATATATTATGTTAATACAGTGCGGATCATCTATACTCAAAAGTTAAAAATTTTGAAATATTATGTGATCCACACATAGGATTTTAAAAAACTTACCACCATTCAATTCAGCTTTAAAAGGGGAGTCTATTAATCTAAAAAAAAAAATTTGTCTC